GCTGAACATATGAAAATACAGACAATAAATACAAGAAGAACACGAGGGAATGAGACCAGATGGGGGACACAGCTGATACAAATTAACTGATGGGACCAGTCAGACACAAAACTAGAAACATCAACATAAGACACAGACCTTCAAAGTAAAACAGGAAACAGGAAATCCATAGAAAAAACTCAGAGGCACTGAACTAAACTTATATTAAATACTAGAAACTAAAAATTACAATAAAAATACACAAAAAACTGGGTCACAGACCCAGGACCGTGACACTTAGACTAGCAGCCTCACACTGTAGCACAGGAGACACTGCAGGACATAAATTAATAAAAAATGACACAAAACATCTTTGTAGTAATAATATTATCTCAAGCCTTTATTCCTGCTATTTGTATTTTATCTATTTGTACATATTAACCAGCATCTGTGTGTGGACAGCAGAGAAAGAATTTCATTGTACAGAGAAATGCTTTTTCTTTGCACACATGACAATAAACGCTTTAAATCTTTGAATCTTGAATCGTGTACAGTCTTTCAGCACAGAATATTAAATAATCTACCGTATGTACAAAAACAACAACAAAAACCCCTGAAAGCAAACGCAAAACGTTTCCAAAACAACAAAAACATCCCGTAAAGGCAAAACTTTTTTTCCTTTTAACACGACTCAAAATAAAAAAATTAAAATAAATAAATCTTAATGTCTCATTCCAGCTTTTCAGAAGAGAAAAAGTAATAAAACAGTGTCAATAAAACCGGTCAAATAGGATCTCTGGTTGCAACTTACTGGTTGCAACACATTTAGCCACAATACATCTGCGTTGTTTGTGTGATTTTATTGAGAGAAAAATGTTTTTGATATTAAATGATTGAATATAGGACGCTAAGCAAGGGTTCGTTTACACTAAGCATAAATTTGTGATTAACTCATTTATACTAAATGGTGGAAACGGGAAACACAGAGTACTTCAATCGTGTTGCCTTCAAAATAGAAATTCAGCAACATGACAACAAGCTGATCCGTTATAATCAGCATGACTTTAACAAGACAAATAATGATGTGAAGATGATTCATTTTTGTACGAGGAATAGTTTAAAAAAAAAAATTAAAAACTGAACGTGGAGCTTGACTCACTGTACTCTCAGGCTGTAGCTTCCATACTCAAAAAATGATGATACCATTTTTGTAAAACAGTTTATCTGATATTGACCTATCAAAATATCACATAGTATCATTTAAGAAAGTGGCTTAAGTGCTAAAAGGAATCTCACAGTGCAAAATATTTATCCCATTGCTGATGAGCTAATTTATTTATATTTTTGTATATATCACAAAAAAACACAGCTTTGGGAAATGCTCATTAAAAAACAGTACATTAAAAATATGATGGCAAAATCTAAATAATGTGATAATGCCTAAACTAACCATTTGGTTCCTGTGAGATGAATTAATAATGTACAATGATGTAAGCAGAAACGCTATAGTGAGCACTGCAAATATTAGCTTGTAGCATCAAAGCTGAAGGACATGATCAGTTAATAAAGCAGACTATTTGTAAAGTGTGAATGTGTTGCTTGTTTGTTGACTTGGTGTCACAAAGCGTTTGCTGCTCTTTTGGATTTTGCTGAAATTTTACTCTGTATCATTTGATTTAATTAATATATTACAAACATTTCTCCCTGCCATTGAAAAAAATGTTATTGTAAAAACCTCACTCGAGCTGTTCCTACAGTCTCCCACAGATTTATTTTCATTACTTATTATTGATAGTCAATCTGTATTGACACTTTCACGCCTGAAAGACACCTGGACGTCAGATTTCTTAAACATTCATTCAAATCAAGGAATCTTAACTTTGGGATCGAGATCAACACATCTGCATGGTTTTGGTTTGCAGCATTAAACCTGTTTCTCCTGCAGTGGCGCAGCTCCTTTTTTATTCATTCGCCCGCTGTTGCAGACTCACTGGGCTTATCCTTCCTCCCTGCTTCATATCCACCCTCTCCGCCTGCTGCACCCTCCACCCCTAAAGTGTGGTATACCCCCTCTTTCATTTCGCCTTTCTTCAGTGCTTCATATCCACCCTCTCCACCCGCCGCCCCTTCCGCCCCTAAAGTGTGGTATACCCCCTCTTTCATTTCGCCTTTCTTCAGTGGTTCATATTCGCCACCTTTCGGCTCTCCACCTGATGCTCCTGCAAGGGTGTCGTACTCTCGCTCCCTCCCAGATGCCTTCTGCAGAGTTTCATACTTGTCATCACCTCGCTCTTTTGATCTCAGCGCCACATCCTCATAAATCCGCTCTGAGAAAAGTTGATATGCAGTGTGGTATGAATACAGTGACTGTTACCATACCTAAAAAACAGTAAACAATCCAAAGAAACAAAAAAATGCTACTCACCTCCGTCACTTCTTCTCCTACGTCGTAAACCTACCACCACTATCACCACCAACATCCCCACCAATACCAACAATATCCCCAACACCATCCCCAACTTCCCCTCTTTCTCAGGTGGTTTTGGAGGCTCCCATGGATCTGTGGGAACAGAAAATATATAAATCTAATAGTCATGAGTCTCCTCGTCGTACTCCCATTAACTTCATTTCAATAAAACTGAAGATGTAATGAAAAATATGCTTACCAGAGGTGGTGAGAATTACTTGGTTACTTCTGTGAGTTTGACCCTTATCCGTACACCAGTAAATAGTCTCATCAACATTGAGGTCAGCAGTTTGAAACACCATACTGTTATTGACGCCCTCCAATTTCAGTGAAACCCTTTTTACACTTTCTCCACCCCTGTACACCCAGCACCTCCACCCTTTCAGACCATCCTTATTTTCAAGCTTCAGGATAACTGCACCTCCCTTCCACATGTTCCGATAGCCTGTCTCAATGGTGAGTGAAGTGCTGAGACCAGATTCTGCAGGACAAATAAAGGAAATCATCTCATTATTATGTGTGAATTGTGAATTTACCTTTAGATCTGTGGAAGTTTGAGCTCTAATATGTGTTGATTGTGAATTTACCCATGACATTGACTGAAACAGGGTCACTCTTTGTCCCACTGGTCTCGCACCAATAAAGGCCTCCGTCATTTGAGTTTTTAATTTCCACTTTCAAAATGTCTGCTCCGACAATTTGCTCACCATTTCGTTTGTGCCATGTCACTGAGCTCGCGCTTGGATTGCATTTTAAATAAACTGTATCCCCAATAAAGGCCATTTCAAATGTAGGTACCATCAAAACTAAAAACGAGAGAAAAAGAAGAAATGCAATCAAGTATTTGTATAGCCCTTCTGAGAAAAACTACAAACACACTGTTGTGCATACTGAGCAAATAATAAAGGGCAATAAATGCAGTACAGCGTGTACAAGTGACATTTTTAGAAGTAAGTGAATATGGATTACCTTGTGGTTTTTGACATCTTACCAGGAGTGGCAACACTGTAACAAAAGAGCAAAAAAGTGCTTTTTAATTTGAACAAATTTACCACCAAATGAGATTTTTATCTGTGTGACACTGAGCAGGTACTGGCACTGTTAAAACAAAGGAGAATACAAGAGCATGTTCAGTGGAATTATTTCAACAAATATGAAGTAACTTAGTGGTTCACAGACTATTTTTTAAATTAAAAAAAATACATTTGTGACTCAGAGTAACCTAAAATTACTGCAGTTAGGATTAAGATTTTTTTTAATTAAGTATAAATTAGTATTTGTTCAATTCAGCTGTAATTATGAGACACTGGGTGTTGTAAATATAACATTTTACAGTTTCTAAACAAGCAAAAAATGAGTTGATAGACTGGTGACCTGTTTAGTGCCCCCCCCGCCCCCCCTCCTTTCTCCCATTTGACAGCTGAGTATGCAAAGGCCGCTGTAACCCTGAATTGGACAAGTGAATGGATGGAAATAATATTTGTCAAATATCTGCTTAACTGCCTGCATATGTATGAAAGATTAACTTTAAATTTATCCAACACATTAAGAAAAAATAATATTATTCATCATTTTGAGAAAAAAGTCAAATCGTGGCGATTACCAAATTGCCATGTTTGCTACAAAATGCCTTGTTTAGATGAGTGAAACAAATTAATCCGCCGTCTTGTGAGACAACATCTTTATTGTGTGACGGTGTAACCATCAGTCCTGTTTCCTTGCATCTGTCCATTACCAGTCATTTCATTTTGTACAAATTCACTCTTCTACGTTTGTGGTTTCCGTCTGACCACACGCAGCTTACTGCACCATGTTTTCGACGTCCTTAAACTGATCACCAGACTGTGTTTATGTGCGCAAAGAGAAATAAAATCTGTCCTTGTTACACATCAAACCCGAATCATTAAGAGCAGAATTCTCCTTGATAAAGCCACTGGAAAGTCCACTATGCAACTTTTGTCTCAAATTAGATTTTT